ATTCATAGTAATCGTTGTGTTGTGTTATGATAACGATTGCTTTCTGTTCAGTGCCGTTGCTTTCTCAAGGTGTGTGCATTTGAAGGGAATTCAACGGCGGCGAAATTTATGATAATAAAAATGAAAATTAAAATTTCCACACAAAACAAGCAATATGAATGATGGTTATGCTGCTGATAAAACTAATGTTGCTGATCAATTCTTTTCGAATCGAATGCCGATTCGTTCGATAATTCGCGCAACGAAATGCTGCTGCAAATGTTGAAAGAAAAGAGCATAATTTCAGTGGATAAAATCAAAAAATTTTGAATGATAAATAATTTTTCAGACACTTTGGGTCCGTTCGATATAATGGCAACAGTGATAGCGCGCTCGCAACACGGTCCAGATAGCTCATGCCTGTTCGGTGTGGCTCAGTCACCGGTTACCTCATATCCGCGTCCCACACGCAACAATCCCTGTCCAATTCCAGACTTCGCTTCCAATGCACCAACAACCGCACAGATGTTACAGGTGAACTAATCATCTTAATCAATTGTTCGCTTTAATTGTTCCTCACAAATTTATTTTCGTTCGTATCAAGTCAACATCCGAAACGATCGCTAATTAGTTAAATTGTATGGAATTGGTTCATTTTCATTCACTTTCGGTCTGAAATTTTATGCATCCAATCACGTAAGGTGTAATTTTCTATAACTGTAACATAATTATAAGTCTTGGTGTTCAAATGAAACTGATATAGAAACGGTGAAACTGAATGAGTTGCTTACGTATCCTTCTGTCAAGATATGGAATTATAGTGGGTGATATTGTGTTCACATTTAATCAGTCGATTAGTGATGATAATAATTAGATGATGAAAGTCTTTTTTCGGTTATAATTTATCGATCTATCTAAAATATCACGTGTTTTGGTTTGCTTGTGTCTTTTTTATCGTTGAATTTCATTGGTATTATGCTTGAACTGACAAATCGATTGCTTTTTATGTGATCATTTTTCTGTACGCGATTCACCTCGAGCTTCAAATCCTTTGTTATGTGCCTATAGATTCGTTACTGTTTCGATAACATTTTCAAGAAGTTCCCCTCAAGAAAATACCGTTCAAATGTTTTTGACAATCCCAACCGCAAATTATGATCACTTATTATCGTGGATCAGTTGAATTTAACTTTGGGAATGATCAGCTCTAAGTTGCTGTTGTTTCTTAAACATTAATTAGATGGAATATAGTGAAATTTAGTTCGGTGTAATGTATAGTTGATGTGGTTACGAAAAGCGACAGGTGCCCTACTGAAATCAAGCTGAGACTCTTCAATTGAGTTTTATCATGGGGCTTAGCCTTAAGATCTGATTTGGGGCTGAGGTTCACATCAATTCATGTTGAAGTCGAGGCTCATCCGTAGTTTCTCATAATATTGTCATAATTCGGATATTGGTTCCTGTTGCTTATTGCTTAAGTGAGATGACTAGAGTTATCAAAGCGTGGCAATAAACTTTTAAAGTTGTTGAGATTCCTTATTGTTAGTGGATGAAGTTGCGGTTTACAGGTCATTCAGCTTCATTTCCAGTTGTTTTCCGTGATTGATATTGAATTTTTGTTGATATGCAATCTGTACAAATCATATCTGAATCAGTTGAATTTCAGAGAATGCAAAATCTTGTGGATGCCCCACTATCTGCAATCGAGACAAATCTCCCGTTCAAGAAGGTATTTTTTTACGGTCGATTTTTGACCGACAACTTTTTGATTTCAATTTTTTGGTTGGGCTCGTGAAGTTTTATATTCCGTTTCCGAACTTTTGAAACTTTTTACATTGATAATTCCCCGCTGTTGACGTGTTTTTGCATTATGTTTTTATGAAGGTTACTTCCAAATGTTTATTGGGAGTGCAAATTCATTAACGTTGCTTTCATTACTCAAAGCATAGCATCGTTCTTAATTATTTGATCGTTTGAATCATCACACCTTCAGAGCGTGCGTCATGCTCTAGTGTTTTTCTAAAGCTGTAAATTGCAAAAACTTAAATGTCATAATGCTTTCTGCGTTGTTGTTCGATAGTTCCACGTTGATTGTATTGCTGATGCAGTAAGCGGAAATATTCTGGTGATTCAATGTTTGCAGTTTTTTGAGATTGAAGCTTCGCAACTTACCAATTGTACGTCAACGAAGGCAATGCTCTGAGTAGGGGGCAGTGCTTTAAGTAAGGTGTCGTTTTTGTGGAGAGAGATTAGCAGATTGAAAATTCAGATGCGAATTAAACGGATTTGAGCGTGAAAATATTTGATCATTAGAAACTGACTAATTGAAAAAAGTTGAAA